AGTAGCAGCAGAGGGAGGGAGAAAATATTTCCTGGTGTTTTCATTATACTCAAAAATCTGACCCTTGGCCATTGTGTTTGGACTGCTGTCATCACTTCCCACGGCGATCATGGGGGAGTGAGCACCAGAGCTGGAAGGGTTCCAAGAAATACAGCTACAGCTCAGCTTACATGAGATCTCGTGCTGTCGAGACCACTGGCTGAGATTCATAACATCTGGGGCCTCATATATTCTTACTATACCGTCTGCTGAACAGGTTGCTAACATGAGACCCATATGTTTGGGAGCAAATTTCACATCAGTAACAGATGTTCTACTATCCACTAGAGTTGTCCTCTTCACCCAGTGACTCTGCCCTCGAAGTTTATCGTGTGATTCTCCTACTATTTCTTCCCAAACAGCTGCTGTTCGGTCAAAAGAACAGGAAGCCAAAACTGCTCCGAATTCAGGATGAGCCCATGTCACACGCCATACAGATCCACTATGTGTCTTCCAACTAGCAGTACAATGCCAATCTCCACTTTCAATTTATCCCAGACCTTGACACTCTGGTCACTGGAGCAGGTGGTCATCCGGCGCCCGTGGAAGTCAAAAGACACATCATGGATGAGGTCCTTGTGGTTCCCCGCGATGCTGTGCGCCACAAACATGGCCATCACTGCCGTCTGCCCGGCCCGCCTCCGCCTCCGAGAGAGCCTGATCCTGTCTTGTGTGGAGACTGCAGGGTGCTCTCCAGGTTCAGACCCAAAGGCTCATGGTTTCATTCCTGGGATGCTGTGTCTCCCAACAGTTCTCATGGGATCCGGAGTTTAGATAAAACTAGAAGCTGCACAAAATACCCAGCACACACACCAGCATCAAGATGGACCAGCAGCGAGGCCACCACCACCAGCAGGTGTGTGGCTTCTTAAGGCCAGGGGGACATGGTCTGTGTAGCTGCATCACAGCCAATGCTCATTCTCTGTCCACAGCACCTCCATGGGCTCCAGCATCTTCTCAATGACAGAGCAGGGCGTGACAAAGGATGCCAGCTCCTCCAACTCCAGGCTCAATCACCCTCTGTAGTCATCGCTGGCAGATGTTTGTTTCAGGATAGGATCAACTGATCAGGCAGCCTTCAAACTCACTGTGTCCCTGAGGCTGGCTTTGAACTCATGACATTCGTCCTCTACCTCAGCACTTCTGCGGTCGGAGGCAGGCACCTCTATGCTCAGCTATGCAAACACCACAAACCGTGTGTATCACAGCACCATGGTCATTTCACCCTCAGTATTCTCCCTCTCCTGCTGCCCCTCCCCCAAGTGGTCCCCTGGATCTCCCTGTCTCACATGTTTAAATCCTAGTCCACATATGAATAAACACGTGTAAAGCCACACATTGCTTCAATATGGTTGTCCCCTTCTCTGCTGGGAAAGAGACCCCCAGTGTCAGCCTGTGACTGAATCCAATAGAGCAGCGAACCATGTCTACACTGCCTGTGTTATGTGTACACACTCCTATGACAAAGTTAATAAATCCACTACAGTGAAAAGCAGAAGGATGACAGCAGTGTAGTGTGGATAAGTGACTAAGGTGGTCCCCCTCCCACTACCCCACCCCCTTGTGACGTGAGGTGACAGATAAGCTGATGACATGAGGGAGATGAATGGCCAAGGATGTGGGGCAGTGACTCTGTGGATCTGATAACTGGGTGGTGATGGGGGACATCCCTCTGTATATGTTTCTCTTATTGGTTGATGAATAGGCACTGTTTGGCCAATAGGGCAGCAAGATAGGCAGGTCTAGGAGATGAGGTGAATTCTGGGAAAGGAAGTCAGAATCAGAGACCATGTGAGACCGCAAAGGGGTAAGAGCTCCAGAGCTTTCTCGGGTAAGATGGACCATGTGGAAATACATAGATTGGTAGTTATGGTTAATAAATTAAGAAAGAGCTAACCAATATGAAGCCCTACTTATTGGTCAACAGTTTTGTAATTAATGTAGCATCTGTGTGTTTATTTTGGGGCTCAAGTGGGACCCTGCCAGGACAAGGGAACCTTTTGTAACAGAGTGGGCCCCTGAGAACCTCAGCTGTATGCAGTGGACAGTGAGGACACTGGACAGAAGACAGTTCTCACACCAGGGGAGACAGACTGGGGACAGAAGCCTCATCCCATAGTCAGAAAGAAACCACATAAAATATGTATGTCATTTATTCCTGCAATGTGTTAACCTAAGTCACTAAAACTGTAGAAATATAAACCCTCTGATAAGAAAGAGCTAACCCACAGAGAGTCCCAGGGCAGCATGGTGTGGCTCTGCATGCTTTAAGATGATGACAAGGAACTTTAGTCCCTTCACCCTGCAGGGGTCCCCAGCTGTCTACCACCCTTCCCAGGACTCAGTCACTCCCTGTGCACAGTTTACTGGAAGGGTTAGTGATTTTTTTTTTTTGGTGGTTGTTGATTCCTAAAGGTGTTTATCAGCTATAGCGGTTACCTGGTAGAATTTTGGGGTGTTGCTTATGTCACACTGACCAAAC